ATAAAGACAACATCGAAGGGGCGGGAAAAAGAGAAAGGAATAGCATGATAAGTTCGGAATAGCACCATTTAACTTCCACAAACACTTCAATGTTTCAGAAAATAAAACACTTAATACAAGTTCTTTAAGTAGATAGTAGCTATAGTCATCGTTGATTTAGTTCAGCCTCTTTGTATAAGAGAACGATAAACGTAACTAGCATGCTTCTACTGTAAATAGTACATAATAATTAGCCACACTTCTCAGTGAGGAATTCCAATCTCACAACAGACCACTTATCTTCAGCAATAGGAAGTACAGTAGTACCCGTGGGGAGGACCCCGTCTGGAATGGATTTGTAAACTCTGATCCTGTTGGAAAGGAGGTAACTTTCGGTTTCTGCAGTCCTCCTCGCACTAGAGTCTGCATTCGAGACAGTAGGAGATTTGGATGGCGTAGTTTTACTAGGCAAATGGAGCAATGATTCCACCGAAGAAGGGGTTTTCTCATTGACACTGAGCTCTTGGACGCCAAGCGTAAGTGAAGAGGCATTAACTATATCAGCACCTATGGACTTTGGAGATGTACTTTTAGAGTAAACTATCTCCTCTTCATCTGTCAAAGGCATGAATTTTAGTTGAATCAGAACAGTAATAATAAGACGATGACATTAGTCGGAACAAGTATAAGGTAAAAACTATGAGACAGACCTCTGAATTTTTCTTCACTAATGAAAATGGACAGTGATTCCATGATACGTTCAGTTTTGACGATTTCACCTTCCGACTCCGCGGAAACAGTTGAAGGATTACCAGCATATATGGATTTGCCTGAAAATGGAAAAAACATCGAAATACTGTAGAACAGTAAAATTTTCACTAGTCTTTCAAGACAAATAGCTGTTAGACTGAACGGAGGTAAACTAGTTGGCCGAATGGTATATATCCATGACTTTCCCTTTCTATAATGTTCGATTGGCTCACGTATACAGAAGGTAGAAGAAGAATACTTACATTTTGTTAAAGCTGTATAAGCAACCTTAGCAGCGTTTTCTTCTGCCTGTTTCTTGGACTTTGCGCCATCCCCGTGAAAGATTTCTGCTTCAATTTCTACACTTGCGAAGAATGTCAGATTGTGAGGCTCACCGGCCCCGATTGTTTTATATCTAGGCAAGCAAATTTCTTCTTGTTGTGCTAGTTCTTGCAGGAAACTCTTGTAGCTGCCAGTATTACTCTGCAACGAAGATTATAAAATGAACAAAAGAGAAAGCTTCCGTGCCAGTTGCCAAAACGAAAATTAACACATTTGCAGCAAACAAGATGGATTGACGACCTGGCTAGAATTCAAGTTACATACACCGACAGTGTAAGCATTTTGAAGAAACGCTTATCATAGACGGTGCATATAGGACATATACTCAGATAACAAGGGACTATACCTTTTCTAAGTCAACGGTTACGAGTTTCATTAGTGCAAACTGTGCAACAGATTCTTCTGCTTCCTCTGAACTCTTGTATGCTCCGGGATTTTTGAACAATTCACCAGCCACTGTCACAGTTGCCTCGAAATAAAGACCTTGAGCTGAACTCATCTTTTTGTTGCAGTACACAGGTACACCGAGATTTTTCCTTTTTGCATACATCTGCAGCTTCTTCTTGTACTGATAATGAGAATCTTCTGTAACAAAAACAACCTCACTTAGACATTTAAGACGAACGGTAATGACACCAAAATCTCAACAACAACAAAACTGAAGTGTATTATTTATCAAATGGAACAGCAAACAGTCGCAAGTTCTTCACCTTGCTTGATCTCTGAAGTATTACGATGATCCTGCAGATGTTGACATGCTTCCTCGGTTTTCGTTAGTCCACTATCTTCTATTGTTGGAAGTGAACCACCTAAAAGGAAATTACAGGTTAAGAAATGTTTTAGAACATAAAGAAAAAGTTTCAAAAAGAAATGAAGGATTCATAGATAACTAAACAGCTATCGCAATGGTAATGACACCGATATCTCAAAAGACCAAACTATAATCGAATGTATCGAAAAGATTATCTTAGACTTTTCACCTTTCTTGATCTCAGAAGTACTTCTATCCTGCAGATTTTCGCATTCTCCATCAACTTTTGTTGGTACGGTATCTTCTGCAGTAGGAAGTGAACCACCTATTAATACATAGAAAAAATATGTAATTTACTTCAACAATTTGTTTAAATACTACTTTGCAAAAAGTTTATTATACAAATTCAATCCATATTATTCTCTAGCCAATTAATTTATGTATAACAAACTTGAAAAAAGAAATAACTACAGACCAGATTTGACTATTTGAGTTCACAAAATCAAGAGAAAAAGTCAAAGAAAAGTCTAAAACCAGAGCTTCTATGTGAACACTAGGTAGTTCGAACTCGTCAAAAATGCCAACAGGTGCAAGTCGGATCTTTTTTGGAGGATCCAACACTGACGCGAACAACATTTTTGAAGAGTAACATGTAAATAAGAACCAACATAATAAACAATAAACACTTATAAACATGATCTTTAAGAGATACTTCATATGTATAAATATATATATACCATTAGTAAAGTGAAGGAAAGCAAACTTAGCAGCTTCATTATGTGCTTCTTTTGATGATTTACGCAAAGGTAGAGAGTCGAAATTGATGCCGTTGACAACAACAGAAGCTTTGAATTTTGGATTATGATCTGCTCCATCTCTCATACAACAATATTGAGGTAGTGCCCATTTCTTGCTATGACACAATTCTTGCAGCTTTGACTTGTACATAATTTTTTTCTCTGCTTTCTAAGTTGTTTTTTGCTTTCAAGTTTCATTACTATATGTACACATAAAAATGCCCCCCCACCCCACCCCACCCTACCCCCACCCACACACACACACAAGTTTGCCTCATGGTTCATGCATTGAGCATTGAGAATCTTGACCCCCCACCCCACCCCAACCCCATGATCTTCTGCATGTTCTAGTACTATCTTTCTTCTTTCTGTTTTCTATTTGGTGTCTGATATCCGCATTGAAACCTAATTATTCCAGATTTGCACAGTGTAGGACTCCATTTGAGGTACCCGCATTGGAACCCGACTATTCTAAATTCGTGTAGTGTAGGGTTTCATTTGGGGTACCCGCATTGGAAACCCAACTATTATAGATTTGTGTCGTGTAAGGCTCCATTTTGGATACCCGCATGAAAAACCAACTATTCCAGATTCACGCCGTATAGGGCTCCATATGGGGTACCGCATTGGAAACCCAACTATTCCAGATTCGCGCCGTGTAGGACTGCATTGGGGGTACCTGCATTGGAAGCCAACTATTCCAGATTCGTGTTGTGTAGGGCTCCATTTGGGGTACCTTCATTGGAACTCAACTAATCCAGATTTGCGCTGTGTAGGGCTCCATTTGGGTACCGCATCAGAACCCAACTATTCCAGATTCATGTCGTATAGGGCTCCATTTGGGGTACCTACATTGGAACTTAACTATTCCGAATTCGCGGTGTGAAGCGTTTTATTCCAAGGACTTTTTCATACTCAGGTTCGAACCCGTGATCCCTGGTTAAGGCTGTTGCACTGGTGGTCCATGTTTTAGTACTATTACAAAGGATGAACAAAAAAGTACTGTTGCAAAGCTGATATTGTGAATGTACTATTTGCATTCACTTTCAACATGTGTTAATTTCTATCTGAACTACTGATCTCATTGTAATATTAATTTTGTAAAATATTTATTTTTTTTATAACATTAAAGTAATCAAACGATGTGAAATTGCTCATGAAATATAAATAATTTCATGAATCAGATTAGGACAAGTCATTTGCCACGTAGCGCGTACTTCGCCACGCTGTAATTTTCACGGTGTTAAAAAAATTAGGAAAACTTTCACATATAGCTACTTAAAAATAATTAATTACCCTCCATAGCTATAGTTTGATAATTACAATTTGTAGCTACATGCTATTTGGAGGAGAGAGGCGAGCGAGACTGGGAGAGAGAGGAGAGAGGAGGAAAAGAGTGGAGAAAGGTGACCTGTATATATATATTGGTTAGATAATTGTATATTATACATATGTTATTGTATATATGGCAAGAGAGATTGAGAGAGGGAGGAGAGAGGCGAGTGAGACTGGGAGAGAGAGGAGAGAGGTGAGCGAGATCGAGAGAGGCGAGCGAGAGAGGGCAGAGAGTGATAGAGAGGTGAATTGTATATGTATATAATTGTATATAACTGTATATTATACATATACATTTGTAAAGATGGCAAGCGAGATTGGTAAAAGGAGGTGAGAGGCGAGCGAGATTGTGAGAGAAAAGAGAGAGGCGAGCGAGATTGAGAGAGGGAGGAGAGAGGTGAATTGTATATTTATAAAGGCTAAAAAATTGTATATTATACATATTTATTTGTATATCCTGACGAATTATACATATACAAACATAACTAGTTATACAAACTCAAAGTCAACCCACGTAATTAATATATAATATTAGTCGCAAGTCGTAATTATAGCAAACTATAGCTATGATGAGTAATTAAATAGTATAAATTTACTTATCCGCGTAATTTTCCCAAAAAATTATTATTGTTAGTTTAAAGAAAATACAATTAAATGAAAAAGAAAAAAAATTACAATAAATCCATATAGAGTTTAACAAAATAAAAAAAAATGGAAGTAAAGGACTCATATAAGTATATAGTTTGATAAGATTATTGTTTAGTTATTCATTCAATCACTTTAGTTTTTTATAATCGTAATGTTTGAACCACCTTGACTATTAAGTAACTCTATCCACTTAGGGTAGGACAAGTCGGTATCTCCTACCATTTTTGCCTATCTTGAAATTTAAACATGTGACCTCATTGTTGTCTACCCAAATTATTGACCATTAGGTCACATCCCTAGATACAAAAGTATATATTTATATATAATCTAAATACGATGAGAGATAGAGTGGTGGGGAATACGGGCTACAAGGTGACGATCAGAATGAAGATGAGGTGTGTCGAACGGTGGGAGGGCACCATCAAAACCGAATGTCACTTGTGAAATTTATTTTTCTTACTTCTATTAGGGTAAATACAAGAAGCAATGATGAAAAAAGGAGCTAAATAGCAAACCTCAGATAATTTGGCTAGTAACTCAGAAACCTACATATTATTTCTCTGCAACAAACAGCCATGGCAATTTCAAACGTCACGTTGTATCAACTATGGTAAGTCAAGCTCACTTCGTGCTGGCCAACTGGTTGCGGAGAAGCTTAGCAGCTGCTACCATGTTGCTGAGTGCAGGCTTAACTTCAGTATACTTGCGCGTTTTGAGGCCACAGTCGGGGTTAACCCAGAGGATGTTGGTATCAAGGACTGCAAGCATCTTGCTGATTCTGTCAGCTATTTCTTCTGTTGATGGAATCCTTTGTGAATGGATGTCGTATACTCCGGGGCCAATGCCAGCACCATACTTCACTCCCTCGCGGAACACAGAAAGAAGTTTCTCGTCAGACCTGGAGTTCTCGATGGTGATAACGTCAGCATCCATGTCGATAATTGAATGGATGATGTCGTTGAAGTTTGAATAGCACATGTGAGTGTGAATCTGTCAAAACAAAAAGAAAAATGCCACATTTAGTATAACCAAGAAATCCTTCATGGCCAGCTCGCCCCTCTACCCCTTTCCGCTTAAATCCAGACTTGTGCCCACGGCAGGGTTTGAACTAGTGAAGTATGCGTAACCCATACCACTGAGCCAATGCCCCCGGGGGCAAAGAAAAAAACTTTCCCCGATAACACAAAATGCCTCTCAATTCTACCTAGCTTTTAGTTTTACCGGATAGCTATTAGTTTTACCGGACACCAATTCCACACATCAGAAGTTGCTTATGAATCTTCCGATCCCATCGTTGCAATATTGTTGGACATTGGACATGTTGGTAAACATTAGGGGGGAAATTTTGAAGAAGTAGATAAGCACAATAGGCTTCAGACACATAATTATATTCATTTAGTAAGTTACAGACCTGGGTAGTGTCTTGAACACCACAGTTGGTAATCCTGAATGAATGTACAGCCCAGTTCAAGTAGAAAGCTTCCTCGGATTTTCTAAGAGGTAAACCCTCTCTTAAAGCAGCTTCATCAATCTGAATGACATTAATGCCAGCCTTCTCGAGATCTTCAACCTCATCCTTAATAGCCAAAGCTATTTGGTAGCAAGTCTCAAATCTAAAAGCAACAAGAAATCCGTTTACATGTGTGCAAGATTAAGAAAGATATGATACTGTGTTGAAGCTTAATATTTCGAACCTTGGCTGGTCATCTCTAACAAAAGACCAATTTAAAATGGTAACAGGTCCTGTAAGCATTCCCTTCATTGGACGCTTGCTCATGCTCTGTGCTCGTGAAGACCAGAAGACAGTCATTGGTTTTGGGCGACTGACATCACCGTAGATTATTGGTGGCTTAACACAGCGAGATCCATAAGATTGAACCCATCCATTGGCTGTAAAAGCAAAACCAGATAATTGCTCCCCAAAATACTCGACCATATCGTTTCTCTGCATTTTGATGATGAAATGTTAGGGTTCTCAGCTTCTTCGGCATAACCTTACAGACAATTAAACATGACTGATGTATCTCACCTCTGGCTCTCCGTGCACAAGAACATCAATGTCTAGATCCTCCTGGAGTTTGACTACTTTGCTGATTTCCTCCGTAATATATTTGACATAATCTTCCTCCGAGATCCTTCAATAGTCGGATGGAAAAATTAATATGCAGGCATAAACCACAATATACTAACAGAATAACTGCAGAAGTAGATAGTTAACTTGTTAGCCTTGTACTCTCGTCGAACTTTTCTAAGCTCCAATGTCTGAGGGAAAGAACCGATGGTAGTGGTTGGAAGAGATGGAAGACTCAGCTTCTTCTGTTGAGCTTCCAACCTCGCACTTACAGTTGTCGCTCTGCGATGATCAGAGCCCTTCAACGCAGCAGCCTGAACATGAAAGGCGGATTATAAGTTGATAACACACAAGAGCTAAAACTATAATAAGATGGATATAAAACACCCAAGTATACTTACAGCCTTCTGCACAGCCCCGTTGGTCACTCTGGGAGAGGATTTTCTGGACGTACGAGCTGCAGCATTAGCAGAGAAGAATGCCTACCGACAGAAACAGCAGCAGCTAAGGGCAATATCAACCGAGTTTTGGATAATGATATGAAACTCAGTTGCTGGTAAAGAGATCTATCAAGGTACACACATTTATAATGTACAAAGATCCATTTAACATCATAAACACTAAAATTTAAGTGCTCAGCAATACAGCATGGCTAAACTTCATCGAATATGACCAGTATTACGATTGAAAGATTCATTACTGTTTAAATATCACATGTTCTAGATTTATATTTGCCTGATTCATTTTCCACGTAGATGATTAACAAAAATATGTCAAGGTACCTCGTCTTTTTGTCCAGCCAACGCCTTTGCCAACGCGTTAACTTCAACCAATTTTTGTGCAGCAAATGCAAGCCATGACTTAATTTCTTCATCCAACTTAGTTTCATTCACTAAATCAACTGCAGTGTGGAGAAGCGAGCAAGAGGTGGAGACCACAAGCTTGTCTGAAGAAAACAAATGCCCAATAGTGTCAAGAATGCAGACGAACGGTGCCTACTCAGCACAGGGTAAAGAATGCAGCATATTTTTCTATGCCGTTAAATTTACTAATGAAAAGCTAGAATAGAAAAAAAATTATTATTAAATTTTAGGCTTCTTGAGGAATATGATGTGTACTCAGATTTTGCTATTCAGTGTAATAAAGTGTAGTCACAGCCAATCACCTTTTCCGACCACGTTCTCAAGAGCTTGCAAGGTACTGAGAGAAGCAGCAAGATCATTAGCCCAAATATTCCTCCCATCAACTACTCCAGCAAATAGATACTTTTCTGAAGGAAAACCACTCTTGATCAAATCAAGATTCTTTGATCCACGAACTAGATCAAACCCCAGTGCAGTAACACATTTTAAAGAAGTCACTGTTTTGAAAGCTTCAGCAGGAACATCAGCAAAATATGTCTCAATGAGGACATTTAATCCGGAAAGCGGTGACTCTAATTCTGAGTAGGCATGAGAAAATGCTTGCAATTGATGAGAATCAAGATCCTTAACAAGAGTAGGCTCATCAAACTGAATCCAACTAGCACCAGCTGCCTTCAGTTCAGCAATGACTTCCCTGAACGAGCAGAAAGATATTAGCCAGTTCCGATAAGTGAACGTTTTAGATAGTATACAGGACTGAACTACAGAATTGAGAATTGGTCTGCTCTTACTTGTAAACTGGAAGAATCTTTTCAATCAGTGATAGAAGAGGAAACGACTTTTCAACACCTTTTGCTGCTTTTGATAACAAGAGGAAGGAAACTGGACCTACGAGGACAGGGACTGTGTCAATGCCGAGCTACAAAATCAAAGCGTTGATCAATATCAGAACACCAACGAATTCTAAAAGATTCAGTTAATACAGTTGACATGTGACTTCTACCATTTAAATTTGATATACTTCTGCAATAAGAAGGAAAAAAATTATTTTAGTATGAGCCATAAACTTACAGATTTAGCTTCCTTATATTCACTAACTGCCTTGTGAGACGCATAGGAAAACTTAACATCTGGACCTAATTCAGGAACAATATAGTGGCTGCATCCAAGAACAAGAATCCCATATAAACAGTAAGATTCAACAGATCTCAAAGCTCACTACACTGTTGAACATTTGAATGAAATGTCATCACTTACTAGTTGGTGTCAAACCATTTTGTCATTTCCATGGCAGGTACAGAGGCGTTTCCCCTAGCCATTGGGAAGTAGACATCAAAACCAATCTCACCACCATTCCAACCGTATCTTGGTGGAACTGCACCTAGCATAGCAGTTGTGTCCAAAACTTGGTCATAATACGAGAAGGTGTTGCTTGGAATATATTTAATGCCAGCATCAGCCATCTGCTTCCAAATAGATAACCTAAGATCAGCTGCCACTTTCTCCAAATCCTCAGAATTGCTCTTCCCATCCCAAAATGATTCCAACGCAAACTTAAGCTCTCTCTTGGGCCCCATACGAGGATATCCAACAACATGAGACGCCATCGTTCTGTTTTAACAGTCACAACATAAAGTACCACAAATTAAATTCGGACATTTCAACAGCCTGTAAAGTTTATACATCCATCTGTATTTTCATCATGCAAGGGATTGCATATCAACTCGAACGATAAAACTCAGCCTACTCGTGCCATGTTAAAACTATATGTAATGCTTCATAAAAAAAGATATTTTGAACCATTAAAAAAAACACTTTTTGCATATCAACTCGAACGATAAAACTCAGCCTACTCGTGCCATGTTAAAACTATATGCAATGCTTCATAAAAAGAAAAAAGATATTGAACCGTTAAAAAAGACACTTTTTGTTCATTCATCAAAGCACCAAAACAAACACAATAATAAATTGATACTAATAAGCAAAAAAACTTAAAGAACCAAGAACTCGACAAAAACAAAAACACATGATTAATTGATAGTACTAATAAGCAAATAACTTCTAGACACGCACAATCCAAAATCCAAACTTTGAACTACTGAAACACAAATCACTTCAAATAAAATTACAGTCACACCGATTATTACAAGTATTAACTAATATTCAGCAAAAAGCCTAAACACCCACAATCCAAAATCCAAACTTTGAACTACTGCAACACAAATCACTTCAAGTAAATTACATTCACACTGATTATAACGAATAATAATTAATATTAAGCAAAAAGCTTAAAGACCCACAATCCAAAATCCAAATTTTCAACTACTGAAACACAAATCACTTCAAAAAAATTACAGTCACACTGATTGTTATGAGTATTAACTAATATTAAGCAAAAAGCTTAAACACCCACAATCCAAAATCCAAACTTTAAACTACTGAAACACAAATCACATCAAATAAAATTACATTCACACTGACTATTATGAGTATTAACTAATATTAAGCAAAAAGTTTAAACACCCACAATCCAAAATCCAAAATCCAAACTTTGAATATTGAAACACAAATCACTTCAAATAAATTACAGTAACACTGATTATTACAAGTATTAACTAATATTAAGCAAAAACTTAAAACACCCACAATCCAAAATCCCAACTTTGAACTACTGAAACACAAATCACTTCAAATAAATTACAGTCACACTGATTATTAACTAATATTAAGCAAAAAGCTCAAACACCCACAATCCAAAATCCAAACTTTGAACTATTGAAACACAAATCACTTCAAATAAAATTATATTCACACTGATTATTATAAGTATTAACTAATATTAAGCAAAAAACTTAAAACACCCACAATCCAAAATCCAAACTTTGAACTACTGAAACACAAAGCACTTCAAATAAACTACAGTCACACTGATTATTAACTAATATTAAGCAAAAACTTTAAACACCCACAATCCAAAATTTGAACTACTGAAACACAACACACCTCAAATACTAATATTAAGCAAAAACATGAAACACCCACAATCCAAAATCCAAACTTTAATATACTAAAACACAACAAACTTCAAACTGATAAAACAAAATCAAAAAACGACCAGAAAACAAACCTGAATCGAAAATTTAAACGCAAGAATTGGGTGCCACGAGGCGGTGAGAAAACAGAAACTGATGAACCAAATGATAAAAAAGTCGATGAAGAAGGTGTAGGCAAAACTAGTCTCATATATATTGAACTCAATTTCTTAGCAACAGTTAACATGTCCACTTTTCAAGATTTTGCTTCATATATATATTTTGTAACCTATTACTGATACTGTTTCTTGAAATTCTACTTATTTTCCTTTTTGGTCCTTTTGGTTTTTGTTTTTCAGCATTTAGGCACCAAATATTTAATAATAATATTTAGGACCTAAATGTTTTTCATTTAGCGGTTTTATATCTGATCCTTCGGTATATTTTTTTTCTTATAAAGTTTGATTATATAGTTATTTCTATGGACTATTTATAGCGATAGAAAATCTCAAATAAAATAACTAGAGTTTAAAACAAATTGGGAATCAAAACCAAACAAAATTGGAATTGTTATACGCACGAAACAGTTATATATTATTTATTATATTGAATTTAATCCTTTCTTGTCTGTTTATTTTCTCTTATAATTTTTATCTTTAATATGTTATAATTTTGAATTTTTTATTTTTCACACAAAATTAAATTTACAATTATTTAATATAATTTATAAAATTCATGCTAAAAATGATAAATATAAAGTAAATAATAATTTAAAATATGTATTTTTTATCTCAGCTAGATATATTCAACTCTAAAAATATGTATCATATAACGATTTATATTGACTATATCCACACAATTCAAATCTTAATTTTTTAAGTATAATTTTTTATTCAAAATTTTGTTTATAATAGTAATATTATTTTAAAAATAATATATTATATAATTTTATATGTATATAGAACACATTTGTCAAGAAATTTATTTATTCTTATAATAAGAAAAATGTATATAATATTATAAATCCTCTCCTCTTAATGACTCAAACTACATTATCAATAAAGAAAATTCTTAATTTTGTGCATAAAAAATAGTGTTTACGCGATCACATAGATTGCTTTTGGTGAGGCCCCTAAAAGACTTCTTCAAATATTAATACATGTCAAAATATACTAAAACTTAGTAAAATATTACAAATAATCATATAAAATATTTGCACATATTTTAATATTCACATAAACTCAAAAAATTATTCAGTATGTATCGGCTTGACTTGGAGTTCATACCTTTGACTGATATCCATCACTATCACAACAAAAAAAGTATATTTTGAAAAAGAAAAATTATCTGATTAAATATGCATTCACAGCATATATATATATCAATTCTATCTAACAACTTATTGATAATTGCGATAAAACATATATTCAAATTTATTAAAATTTTGATTTCATCATTGATTTATGCCTATATAGATAATATGTATCTGTGGTACCAAAAAAAGTAATTATCAACTAAATTAGTGAGATTTGTATTGTTTGTCCTATATTTAATTAGGAAAACTTTTAAAAATAGCAAACATTAGGCACTCTATAGCTATAGTTTGTTTAGTTATGAATAATAGCAAAATGTTAGGGGAGGAGGTCAGTGGCGTGGCCAAAAATTTCATTAAGGGTGTCCAAACTTTTAATAGTATTTTTTTAAAATTAAAACAATAATTTAAACTACCAAAACAAATAATCAAGTTAAGCAATATTTGATTAAAGGTCTAAGTCATTCTCAGCCCCTTAATGTTGTCCGCATAATTCACTTAAACACCTTATCTAAGGTTTGTTTCAATTGAACACCTTTATTAGTTAAAATATATTCCTATAAAACATTTTCTGACAATCAATTAAAAATAGAGAGTGAGTGACATACACTCGCGGATGATGTGGTACAATAACCAATAAAAAAAAGACATATGGCATTGACCCTTTAATAACAATTAAAAAAATAAATTAAAATAAATAAATAAAATAAAACTAATTTTTTAGCCAAAAAAATAAATAAAATAGAAATATGAAAAGAACCTTTCTTCTTTGTTTCTTTTTGCATAGCAGTAACCTTACCACATCACCTCCATACCCGTTACACACTTCAATAGTAATGGTAACTCCACTTTTCCTCTCACAATTCACACAAGGATTTTGTTTCCCACTAATACACCTGCCCCGTCTCTTTTATTCTAAAATAACTTCAGATTCGTCTTAGCGTTGTCGGAAAAAATGTTGTTTCACCAAAATTATTTTTGACACAATTTGATTATTATTATTATTTTATGAAATGCTCTTCTAAAACTCCAAGATAATGCTTATGATATTGAGAATGGCGGAACAATGCTAGAAAGAAAGTATATGGGGAAGGGGTGAGGCGGAGGATGGTGGCTTAGGAATTTGGCCGGTAAGAATTCAGTCTCTCTTAAAAAAAAAATTGGAACCAAAACAAAGCGGAACCAAAACAAAGTGTCAAAGATCTTCTAAATACTGAAGAAGACAGAGTGCTCTGAAGAAGAAGATTGTTGAAGGATAATGGGTGTTTTTTTTATTATTATTAAGAGATCCTTATTGAACTAAATTATTAATTTTAGTTATTTAATAATATATCTAAGTTTCAAGAAATGACAAAATCAACTTAAAAAAAATTAAAAATAATAATATTGGGATCTATTCACGCGCTTTAGGACAGTGAATTACACTTATCTTGCCACATAAGCATTTTGTGTTTAATGGGTATATGTTTGAACAATTTAAGTGTTCAATTGAAACATGTCCTAGTTGAGGTGTCTAAGTGAATTATGCGGACAACTTCAAGGGGCTACCTATGACTTAGGCCTTGATTAAATATAAGAAACAAGTGTATAATTCAAACTAACATAAAGAAAATAAAATACTATTAAAAACATAATTCAAAAATATTTTTACAATTGTACTCGATGAGATTTCATATCCTGAAATGTTTTTATAATAGACTCATTAGAAATAGTACGAAATACTTTTTTTTCTACATAAGGCACTATACAACCATCTAAAAACTCATCATCCATTCGGTTTCGCAAGTCATTTTTAATATACTTCATTGCCGAGAAAACTCTTTTTTTTTTTAAAGAAAATCTTATCGTACAAGGAAAAAGTATTAATATTAAGAAAATAATTCAATTTTAATTGAAAAAAATTCACAAGGAAAAAGTACTAAATTTTAGGAAATCTTATTCCATAGTGAAAAGATATTAAAATTTAAGAAAATAATTCAATTTTAATTGGAAAAAATTAATTAGTGTTTGAGGGGATTCGACCTTGGGTCTCTAAGGGTTCATCACACAAACAACCAACATGCTACTAAATGTTTATGCTAAACTACGCATGTGGGGAATTGAACTCGGGCAAAGTGTAGGGGTGCAACAACTATTACCAACTCCGTTACGTCTCACTTAGTCATTTTAAGGGATCCAACTTTTATATATATCAATATTAAATCAAAATTGTACGTGTATATATAACCTTTTTTTTCGACGAAGGGGGTCTAAATCAAAATTGGACACCCTGGAGCCTACGTGGCTCCGCCCCTGGAGGAGGAAGGAGAGAGGCGAGTGAGATCTGGTAGAGAAAGGAGAGAATGTATTTATTTTTATTTTTTTGCAAATTTTGGAGAAAAAAGTACAATATAAACTGATTTGTATCAAAATAAATACATATTAAGAAGAGAGAGGAAAGCAAGAGATAGAGGGGGGTGGGTGGGAGAGGCGAGTGATATCGAGAGAGGGAGAAGAGATGCGAGCGAGATCGAGAGAGGGAGAAGAGAAGATTGTATTTTGTATTTATTTTGTAGTGTATTATATTTATTCTGCATCAATTGTATTCGAAATACAACAATTGTATTCTGTAATTTTCTTTTTGCATTGTAGTCTTTATTATTTTGTATCAATTGTATACGAAATACAATTGTATTCATCCCCTCTTTGATTGAATATAAATACATTTGACAGATAGGATATATTTTAATCGTATAAATACAAATATACTTGATACAAAATATAAAATACAGTTTTTCAAATACATTGATATCAACCACTCATCTCCCAAACTATTGAGATTTTTTTTTCCTTTTTTATTTCAACTTGATAATATATTGGGCTTATGGACCCAATCAAAATGTAAAGGAACTTAAGAGCCCAATTGGACCCGTGAAAGTAAAAGGGAAAGGATTAGAGCAGGAATACATTTTTAATAATCCCAACTCCCAAAGTAAATAACAATGTTGTTACTTTGGAAACAGACTTATTGATAAGATTTGCGTATAGTCTATCTTTTTCCGACTCCAGTCAATAGAATTTCACTTGATATGTTGTCGTTACAAGGCAAATCTCTTTTGAACCTTCAAAGAGTAATTAAATTTAGGGTAAACAATATAAATTCCACTAGTTTAGAGCCTAATTATGTGTTTTTCTAAGAGTTTTCAAAATTTCAATTCATTCTAGATTTTAATCCTCAGATATATGGATTTGGTGCATTCGAAATCATTTATCTCGAATATATGGGGTTAAAATTAGGTGTAATTTAATTCAAGTACAATGTCTAAGTAGTTTTGCATTCATCTTACTCTGTGGCTCGCCTCTCTCCCTATGTATATATGTTTCACAATGTATCTGGTATCGTCGATACATGTATCTACTGTGATTCACATGTATAATTCTCTCGTTTGTCTTCCTCCTATCTCGCTCGCATCTCTCCTGTCTTGCTCTTCTCTCTCCCTGTGTATCTGTATTTTAAAGTCCGTCTAATAGCAAAAATACATGTATCTAGGTGTATCTGACTTGAAATCCAATACGAATTATTAATTAATGAGATAATATGTGATTATTTCAAATTACCGAAAGAATTAGTGAAAATGAGATGTTTATGTAATGAAATAGTATTTCCTTAAATTTAAGCTAATTCTCACATACTCAAATGACATTTTGAGGCCATATGAGATTATCATCAGCCCAAGTGACTGAAAATAGTTGGACCAAAACAAGATAATAAATCTTATAGAATAGATAAGCGGAACAATCAATAGCAGTCTGTTCTTACGTATCGATCGATACCAAATTGCTTTGACCATTATTGTCTAGTGTCCCACCACTTCAAAAAATTTCTCATTTGCACGTGTTGACAACTAAGTCTGATAGAAAATCAAGAAGTATAATAATTTAAAAATTAGCATTGTAAAAAAAATAATAAATAT